AGGCAGCAGGGAGCCGCTCCCGCTCTCTGCTGGCCGCTCCTGTGTCGCCGGCTCCATCCAGGCTCTGTCCAGGGCATTGAGATGGCAGATCCTGCTGCTGCCCAGCTCACAGGTCAGTCACCTTGTTCTCCACCAGGGCGGCAACCTGCTGCAGGCGGCAGGCCAGTTGCATCTTCTGGCCCACAGGGTCCTCCTCCAGGGCACTGATGATCTACCAGGGCAGAGGAGGCCAGCCCGCCTGAGGCCCTGGCCCTCGGCCTACCGGCCGCCCTGCCCTGGCTCCATCTCAGTAGCAGCCTGGGGAGCCAGAGCTCCCTGAGGAATCTGGACGGATGCCGAGCCCCTTCCCCAACCTGGGCCTTTCCTCTCCTCTGCCCAGATTGGGCCTGAACACTTCCTCCCGCCCCCAGGGAGACTCCTGGGGCCTCCCTCTGGGCTCCGGGCTCCAGGAGGCGTGCCCCTCCCCCCAGAGTGCCCTGGGGCCTCACCTGGTCGTAGTACCTGTGGATGTGGGTGTAGAGTCCTTGCAGAGCTTCCAGACAGTGGAGAGCGGAGGTGTAATTCTGGGGGCAGCACGCGGGGGTTGAGGCCCCAGCCTGGGCCTCGAGCCAAGCCTCCCCCTTCCCTTCTGCCCCCCCCCCAGGTGTGGAAGGGTGTACCCTCTGGGCCAGGCCTCACCCTCGAGAGCTCGGCCAGAGCCGAGTTCATCTCCTGGTAGCTTGCCGGAGAGCTCTGGCGAATGTCGGAGTAGTATCTGGAGGAGGGGACAGAGTTAGGGGCAGGCGGCACCCATTCCCTCGTCCGTGACACCCCGACACCTACCTCTCCACCATCTGCTTGTAGCGAGGGATCTCCCGGGCGTAGAGCAGTTTGTTCACGGGGGAATCCTGTTCCGGGCGGGGGTGGGCGTGAGCGGGAGCTGGGGAGCCCTGCCCTGGCTTTCTGACTGTGCCCCTCGTGCCCCCCCCCCCAGCCCCACCCAGGGCTCTGCTCCGAGCCCCCGTGGCTCCCCCGCCAGGCTTTCTTCCTCTGCCCTCACCCGGCCCACTTTATGCTCCGAGATGGTGCAGGAGTCCATGAAGGTCTGGGCAACGACAGTGAGGACTGCGTCCACGTTGTCCGACACCCGCACGTCAAAGATGAGCTGTGGTTTCTTCAGGGTGTTCACCCAGAACCGCAGAAGTAGGCTGGGGACACGGGTCAGCCGCGGCATGAGTGGGCTGCCCCGGCTCCCACCCTCAGCCTGGTCCCCGGCCCTAAGCTATGCGGGGAGCTGGCCTGCGAGGCCGTGCGGGGGCGGCCGGGAACCCAGGGCGAAGGCCACCGGGCCTGGGCTTCTGTCCCGGCCCTGCCGCCCCCGCCCTGGCAGCGTCCTCTCTGCACAGGGGCAGCAGGCGAGGCACCTGTTAGTCTTCCAGATGTGTAAGGTCTCCAGGTCCTCGATGCCGTGCTTCTCAGCCAGCTCGTCCAGGAAGTCAAACAGGTACTTGACAGCGATGGGCACAGGCCGGTTCACGCTGAGGATGGCCTGGAAGGCGTCGTCCACAAACTTCTGCAGTGTGCCCTAGAAGGCAGGGCGCGGGTGGTATGGGGGGGCAGGGTGTGTGCGCCTCGAAGCCGCGGCCAGCTGCAGCCTGCCTCAGCGGGTGGGGCTGCCCCGTCGCCGCAGCTCCCCGGCCCGCCTACCTTCATGGACAGCAGGCGGGTGAGGTAGATCTCTGGAATGGCCTTGGCCCGCGTCCGCTCCCGCTCCGGCTCCCTCAGGCTGCACCGTGCCTTCGCTGCTTCTGGCTCATCGGTGACTTTCACCAGGTGCCAGAGGCGGACCCCACCGTCCTCACCGTCCTCCAGCGCGGGGACGTCTGAGGGCACAGAAGCCGGGCCTCAGTCCTTCGCACGTTCATGCCGCCGGCCGGGGAGGCCCAGCCTGCTTCCCTGGTGAGGTGAGGTGGGGCAGGGTGGGGGGCACCGAGGGCCGCAGGGTAAGAGAGATGTGGAGGACAGGGTGGCAGCCCAGGGGCTTGCTCTGCTCAGCACCCTGCGGCCCTGGAGCTCCCCGACCCGGACGCGCTGCCACCCTCGTCCACCCCGGGCCCCTGGCTCAGCCTGGAGTTGTGGCTTCCCCGCTGGCGAGGTTTGGGGAGACCTGGACACGGCAGACAGCATGACCAGGACTCCGGCCTGCCCGCCTCGAACTCAGGGGCAGGTTGGCGCGGCTGGGCCACGGGACTCACTCTCCCCAGAGGGGCAGCTCGGGGCCGGGCTCTGGGAGACGGCGCCTCCGTTGTGCAGCTGGGGGATGAGCCTCACCGTGGCTCCATCCGGGACCTGGCGGGGAGGGGAGCAGAGGCTGGGCTCCCTCCCTGGCTGACCCCGAGGTGGGAGCTTTGCCCCCAGCGCCCACCTGCCCGGCACCTTGTAGTGCTGCAGGGTGTTGAGTCTCTTCCAGCGGTTCTGAGTCACTGAGGTCAGGTCCTCGTCCGACAGGGTTAGGTGACCAGCCAGGCCTGAGCGCCACTCTTGGGGGGACCCAGTGTCAGGGAGGTTAAACCAACTTTGAGTCTCTCTTTCTCTCCTCTGCGTGAGAATCGAGGATTTCTGCGAGATGGAATTTTTGATTTACAGTCCCAAGAGCAACATGGTACAGGAGAGAATAATAAGCTCTTTAGACTTGGAAGCTCCTGCAAGAAATGATGGATGTCCCCAAGGGAAGGTACATCCAGGAAGATGCCCCCAGCCCCCCAGCA